CACGCCAAAAGTGCTATTTTATACGTTTCCGTGAGACGTAACATAAATATTCCGAAAATATTATGAATTCCACACACAACTCGAAAAATCCTGAGCCCATTTATAACGTTCGCCTGCAACTATCCGTCATTCCTGGAAAATCAAATAGAAAAAGCCGATGCTCCGTTAACCCCCGCTCCGGTACACTGATAGCGTTATTTCACATATTTCCATAGGACACTACAGAGACATTCTTAAAGTATGAAGAATTCAACATGCAGCTCGTAAAATCTCGAGTCCGTTTATAAGGTATGTTTGTCCTACATCTATCACTACTGGGGAGCCGAGTAAGAAAATCCGGAGCTCCGTCAGTCGCCGGTGTACCTTGATAACATTATTTCGCATATCTCCGTGGGACATTACACAGATACTCTTAAAGTATGAGCAATTCAATACGCACCTCGAAATATCCCGAGTCTGTTTATAACGCACGTCCGCCTGCAACTATCCGTCACTACTGAAGAGGCGAGAGAGTAGAAAAAACTCCGGAGCTCCGTCAGCCCTGATAACGGTATTATTTCCGTGGAATATTCCACAAGTATATATCTTCAAAGTATGAGAAATTCAACATGTGCTTCGAAAAGTCCCGAATATTGTTATCTGTCTCGAATAACGACTATTCGTCACTACCGAAGAGTACCAAGTGGAAAAGGACGGAGCTCCGTCAGGCCTGGTAAGATTGAGATATCGCGAGTATCGCAATGGCTGAGCGATAACGTAATGAAATTCGCCAATTTGTCTGGAGACTACACCTCCGGAAGAGGATTCTTTTCGAGCCGGACGCGACTCGATGAAATTTATTAATCCAACGGCCAGCGTGCATTCCGTCGGGAGATCGCCGCGCGACAAGGTCACTCGGGCGGACGCGTGCGCGCGCCCGCGCCTGTGTTCAAATGATAGAAAGCTCCTTATCCCTTTTAATAGCGCTTAAGCGGCGCAACAACAACGCGTTGCTCCCTTTGAAGTTCACCGCAATATGTCGCAGACAGCTTTATTACCCTGATCTTACTTTATTATGCAGGCCTTGCGCCGGACCAGCGCGGTTTGGCGCGAGGACGACGCGGTGCGGATAGCTTTTGCATAAAATGAGAAACGACCGTCGGTATTTAAAGTTGAAGGCACTCCGGAGATTTCGGCATGAAACCGCCCGCGAGATTGTGATTTAGAGCTCAAGACAGAGAGATTTGGGAATTTTTTACTCGGACATATTTCTCCGGAGTGTTCTCCTGGAAACGCGTGTGACAGTAGTAAAACGGTGTCGCCGCTTCTGAGAGAAAAATGCGATTAAATTTATAAATTGATAGATGCTATTTGTCATCTGTTATAATCTGTTATCTATTATAACAGTTTAATAATAATAATAATAATAATAATAATAATAATCATCATCTTCATTAACGGGAAGTATTCTTTAATACATATAATTAAATATTAATATAAAATAAATAGGTAGTGAAAAAAAAGGCTTACAAAATTATTAATATATAAATAATTATTAATATATAAATAATGATGGTAATATAATGAAAACTAAAGGCACGCAGAATAAAGTATTTAAACGTTGTCAGAAATTACTGTGAGAAAAGTCAATAGAACAAATCAGAGAACAAGTTAGCTGTTAAAACATAATCTGTCCATATAGGAATTTAAACCGTATAAAATTCGATGAGATGTTCAGTATGAAAAAGAAGACAGTATCTTAAAGAGAGAGAGAGAGAGAGAGAGAGAAAAAGGGAGAAAGGTCTCTCAGTGGAACGTTCAGTTTTAGCAATTCTAATATGTGTGGACAGTCAATATTACAATTTAAAAGATTGAATATGTAAAGTGAAGGTCGATCATTGTTCTCCTCTGTTGCAGAAGTAATTATTATTCATTTTATTAACGGGAGATTATCCTTTTGAAACATAATATTGAAAAGTAAGATGCAAAAGCAAAAAATATGCAAATATATAAATTATGAAAACGCAAAGAAAAATATTTACAAATGTGAAAAAATTGGCCTATAGTCATGACATTATGCAATATTGCCATGTATTATAATTTATTATCTATTAGGTTGGTGCGTATGAAATGTCGCATTCTCTTTACATGCGGACGTTTTCCTCCCTGTTTTCGTTATACTTTTGTATTTGGCATAACCTCATTCATACTCGTATTGTCCATTGCCAGAGACTCATTTCAACAAAATAGGTTTTCTCGAAGGTCTTCCCTTTTTTATTTCTTTTGAGTTTATTACCGATATGAATTCTGCCGACATTCGCGTCATTTTCTTATATGAGTACAAACTTGGTAATAGTGCTGCAAAAGCTGCACGCAACATAAACCAAGCGTTTGGGGAGAATACG